ATATAATATCTATGAGCGCTGGGCAATTTCACAAAAGATTAAGATAATCAAAGCAACAGATGTAGCTTTAGAATACCATGTCAGCAATGAGGAAGTTTTAAGGAAAATAGGAACTACAAGGACACCTATACCTACAATCAGAAAGACCTGAAGAATTTCACACACACACACAGTACATACTGAAGGCAAATGAAACAGAAACAGCAAGTAACCTATTTAATGAAATTGTATGACTGATGGCAGAACAGAAATAAAGACAGTATAGTCAAAAGTTTGAGCTACAAGTCAAAATAAGTTGTGGAGAGCCATGATCACCCACATCCTGAAAAGACATGGCACATAAGATATCATTAATGCCAAGTATTAAACTTTTTATCTGCTTCTGCAGAATCTTTTATTGCAGTCTTGAATTTTTTTCATTTCAAGGTTTTACATTTTTTATGAATTTTTTTTCTCCTTATTGGATTATATTTTAAGTTTATTACCTTTTTGATCTTCTATTCACTAAATGATATTGATAAGTATAAGAGGGTATTTGGCATTACCTACTTCTCAAGGTCTAACCAAGCATTAGAATGCTGAATCCTTTCTTGATTAAGCCTATAGCCTTTTAGTACTTATGTGTGTGTGCATGTTTTGGCAACAAGCATTCTTTCAAACATATTTTGTTAAATAATATGGGCAAGTTCTGTTAATCAATTCTTTTAAGTTTTTTCAAATTTCTGAATAACTTGTTTCATCAGTAAATTTTCTAAAATTCATATTAACTTTTATTTTATATTACTTCCCCCAAATACTTTCAAATGTTGCTTCATTTGTTTTCAAGGAGTCTTCCATATGTAGTTACACAACTGTTTTTTTTTTTTTTTTTTTTTTTTTTTTTTTTGATATTAATTGTCAAACTTTAATTTTTGTTTTATATTAAACCCACTTCAGTATACAATCCCCCTGTGGAGAAAGACACCTTATTTAATGTTGGCTGCTTTTCTTTCATTACAACAACCTCCAGATTTTGGAGACTATCTTTGCACTGTCCTTTATAAAAAAAAAAAACACACACACACACTCTTCTGTTTGACTTAACTATATATGCTGGACAATGCTGCATTATGAGTAGAAGGTCTATTGTATTATCTTAACGGTTATTGGGTGGGTGGTAATGGTTGTTTCAAATTATTCAAGAAGCTATTGAGTAAAAATAATTGAATCTGAATGCAGTTATTTGTAGCTGTTTTTTAATGTTTGACTTTTTTACTCCTTATTTATTATTGATTACTTTGTTTATTATTACTACATTTACTTGTGTTTATGTGTACATTCATTGTTTAATTTTATTATTTACTTAATTTGTTTATTTATAGCTTTAGATTTTTTATTTACAGGTACAACAGTCTCGTATATAGAGCCTCTACCTATAATGCACCTTTGTCTGGCATATATAGTTATAGTGATTCTTCTGTATCTGAATAGAGCAAAACTGACAAATTCACTTTTCTTTGTTTTCAAGTCTATAGTCACTCTTAATCAAATATTGAAACCTGATCTGTTGCTTATTTCCAACTCTTAACAGCATTATCATTTCAAAAGAGATTACTTTCCTGAAAGTCATGATTTAACAGAAAAAATGCTATGTTTATATGACATTCATTTACAGCTCACTTTCCTTGATTATTTGCTCCCAATCAAGGTGACAAAGCCGTCATGATGCAAAGAATTATTAAAAGTGAAAGAAATTGAGAAAATGTTGGACAAAAGAGCAGTGTTCAAGAAGACAAGATAACTGGTGTTCAATTAAATTTTTGAAAATTGTTGTTGAAACCAGTAAACTATTAGAATAGGACTTAGAATTGCATCTAATAATTTCAACAGTAAAATGAGGAGACCTAACCACAATTTCATATTGCACTTAAGTTTAAGATGAAGTACCAAATAGGATTGGGTGTGAGAATATGAAAAATGGGGATTATTGATGCTGTTATAGGAAATATTCTAATGAATTCCAAAATGAGAATCTTATTTTAGAATTATCTAAACCATTTTTTTATACTCTTAAACTATTTCCATATGCTTCATTTATCTATCAGTATAAAGAGCAAGTCTCTCCATCCAATTTATGTTTAACTCTCCTAAGCAAGATTTTTTTTTTTTTTTTATTTATTTTATTTACATTCAAACTAATGTTCTGTTCTTTATCACAATGTTTCAGATGTTGTGCCCTCTGGTCTTTTTTTATGTATGTTGATGCAGAACACCATCAAAATTTTGAACTGAATCTTTTATTTAATCTAAAGTGCAATAACCTTGTGGAAATAGGGACATTTTTTTTTTTTTTTTTTTTCATGAATTTGGTGATAGTAATTGTGGGTTCATGTCCTACACTCAGCAATAACAGTGCTAAAAAAAAAGGTGGGGGTAAGATATTACTAGACAAGAATAATCTACCCTTATAGATTAAAGGGTTAAGTTCAAAATTTTCTGAAGGTTACCCAGTTCGACAAATACCTGAAGATGGCCAGAGGGCACAACAACAGAAATTTTGTGATAACGTAACAATGATATTAGTCCAAATATAAATGACTCATCCCATAAATTCAGATTTTTTTTCTTTAGATTAAATATAATTTTGTTACAGTTTTGGCTACAGTATGAAAAACGTGTAATGTTTAAGGAAAGCTATCACACAAATGCTACACTGACTCCAAGATAGGAAGTTTGATAAAAAAAATGTGTTTAATAGTAAACTTTTTCTAGGTTCAGAAACAAAAGGTAAATATACAATATATTAGTTTTTAGATAGTATTTCTTTAATGTTATTTCTCTTGTATTTTTTTTTTTTTTTTCTCCAAACTAATTTGTCAAATAAAATCTGTGCAGGCTAGACAAAGAATAAACCTCCACTGTAATTTACTCACATCCTTTTTATACTTTACAGTCTGCCTTAGCAATTAGGCATTGAAGACAATTAAATTTAGTCATTTCTTCTTCAAATGCCTACAAGTGGATGTTGAAAAGTTCTTGGCCTGACCAAAAAATATTCAAGAAAAAAAAAATTCTATTCATATTTTGAGAAGTTGGTTAGCTTTTTCATTGCTTTCTAAATTTATTTTTTTCCATGAGAAGTATTTGTAATAATGTACAAATTTGTCATTAACTTTCAATTAGTGTGGTTCTACAGAAGGATGCTGAGAATATTATGGATAGAGAGTGTAAACAATGAAGAAGCCTTAAGGAAAATGGAAATAAGATTTACACCCTAAATCAGAAAGAGAGCTAAAAAAAAAAAAATTGAACATATGTGGATGAAGGACTTCAAGAATTTGACACTCAAAGAACATATTGAAGGCCAAAGTTACAGGGAATTCAGCAGGCCATTTTTTCTGATGAGCTTGTGTGAATCTTGACAAAATAAGCTTTGCTTTGAACTACAGTAGGTAGGAGGTTATGAAGAGCCATGATTTGCTACATTCTGAAGGGACATGACACAAGGACTTCTTTCATCTTGTAATAAGTGACCATGTTTTATCTAAGATTTTTACGCTACAATTAATGTTTATTTTTATGTGCAGTGTCCCATCAGGACATGGACAATCATTGTTCTCCATAACTATCTGTTATTTTAATGTTTACAATGTTTTATCTTTTTGCTATTTCTCCTAATCCCTGTTTTGTCAACTATTTATGCAAGCTGATTAGGTAGGTTATTTGCTGCTTTCCTCTGTCTTGCTTGCCTTCAATGTGTCCTGTAAGTGTTAGATTTTCTAAGCCCACTTTCATCATCATGTGCTATAGAAATTTCAGCTCTCTCTTTCTGATTCTAAGTGTCTTTTTGTTTCTGTTTTCCTTAAAAATTTGTTGTTGCTTACATATTCAGTCCATGGTATTCTCAGCATCTTTCTGTAGAACCACATTTTTGTTGCTTCAAGTCTCTTTTTGATATGAGATTATCCAGCATTTGATGCCATATTGGAGGACTGATATTACATAAGTCTAGTATTCTTTTCTTTGTTTCTAACAAGATTTTCCTGTTTCTTCATACTTTGCTTAGCTTTTGGAAAGTAATTTTTGCTAATCCAATGCTCCTTCAGATTTTGGTTTTGTATTTTTCCATCTTCTGTTAAAACACTTCCTAGATATTTAAGTTTTTGTACTGGCTTGATTTTTGGCATCTCAATTTGTAGTTTGCATTTAGAGTTGTTCCTTTTGCTGACAACCAGACATTGTTTTCTTACAATTGATCATTTGTCTTTACTACTTGTTTTCTTTTACTGCCTTCTGTTGGAATGGCTGTAGCTTCCTTCTATGCTTTGACCAATTTTTTTTTTTTTTTGTCTGTGTTTATTTTATTATGGGTTCCTAGTCCAAATTTTACAACCATTTCACCATCTCATTTTTTCCCTACTTCAGCATTCAGGTCTCTCATAATAATTGCAATTTCTTGTGATTTGCATTGAGCCATGGTGTTGTCTAGTGTATAGTAAAACTCTTCAATTTCTTCTGTACTCTGTGCATATACAACTACATAGACTATATTAAAAGGACAATGCTACTAGTATAAAAGATGGTCACATATCAGATATTTGCTAAATAAATAAAGGCAGTCTGACTAGATTTGAAAAACTGTAGCTAGGTGGACCTCATGGCCTAATTAGAGCCTCTCAGAAATAAAGGATAAGAGTTCAAATCTAACTAATCTTATTCTTTATTTCAAATTCAGGTTGGTTACTAATAATTATAGAATAACAATCTGGTAGTTACAAAAAAATCAAATTAAATACTAATCAAAAATTAACTTAAAATATTTCATCTGAGAAATTTGAATATATAGTTCTCTTACAAGTAAATCAATAAAACTTCCTATCTTGGCTGGAAATCGAATTTGAATTAAAATTTTTGTAGTTGTATTAATATTACCTTCTGTTTCACTATCACTACATACATATTAGGAATATGTATTTATTTGTAATCTTTTCTAAATTTCAAGTATTGATTTTTCTCAACAGTTTTGCAAAGGTCGGGCTCCAAGAACTTCCAAACTACAGAAACCTAGGCCATTAAAACAGGGTGAGTATGGTTGTTCATATTAATAAGAGTTAAATCATTAAAACCTTTTTATATTCATTCTTTTGAGTAACATTGGAAATATTTAACTTTTTTTTATTGGATTAAAACTTAATATTAAAAAAAAAATTTCATAATCTTATCTTACATATTAATATAATGAATGAATTTTACTTATATTTAATACTTTTTTTTTTTATATTTGGGAAGTGATCTCTTGGCTTGTTTTTTCTTTTTGTTGGTTTGTGGAATAAATGCATTTTACCTCCCAAACTTTCTCTCTTGAGACTATTGCATATCTAAATATTGATCTATTTCTAATTCCAGATTAGAATATAATATTAGTTTTCAACATTTCCTCCACCATTTGACTAGAATTAACTTTCCATCTTGGTTTTCTGATATTTATAGATTTTTATAACTGGAACTTGCCCAGAATCTTTTGTTCTTTTATTTCTTTAACATCAGATATCCAAACTAATATATGAAGTCTCTTATAACCAACATATCTATTTTATTTTTGAATGATTTATTAACCTGAGTACCATGAAATGTCAGCACCTTGGAATTTCTTTGTAAGAAATTCTATGCTTTTAGAAGACAAATTTATTAGTTGAAGATGCAATCATACTGTCAAGATCATTGGACACTTTTGTTGTAATCATATGGCTGCAGCTGTTACCACTTGAATGGTCTACTTTACTCAGAAGATCACTTCATATAGCAACCTGGAAGCAACACAAGCTTTCAAATACTCTTGCTTCTGCTGCTAATACTACTAATACAATCACTAATCTGAAATACTTATAACCTGTTTGAAGCTGGAGTAATGATTTTTTTTTTTTTTTTTTTTTTTATACTGGATCTCAAGTTAGGTAAACACCTTTTAACCTAATACTTACATCATCAACCACATAGAATTATAGGGAACTCCATAAACCTTTCCATGGCTGTACATGTGCTTCACCAGGGATACATAGTTTTGAATTCAAAGTTGTCCTTCTCCTAGATAGGTTGCCAACCATGGCTAGAGAGTCCAGTCTTCTGCTATCTAACCTGTAGCTGGCAAGAGCAGAGATGTGTTCATACCATTCCTAAAAGTATTGTGTGAAAGTGAATGGCACAAACTCGGCTAGAATTTGAAATTGGTTCACTTATTTCTGGTTCTGAGCCACTGACCATTATGCTACCTGCACATCTCAAAACCTTGAAAGATTACTGATATTACTTAAGTGCATGATTAGATCTCATAAAGAAATCACATAAGAATCAAGAATAAACAATGTGAATAAAAAAAACAAAAAAAAAACACAAGATTTGAGCTCACAATTTGGATACCTTATCCATTAGTCCAATAACAGTATTCTAAAGCAACTTTTTTTTTTTTTTTTTCTCTTATGTCAAAATAAATATAAATCTCATAAACTTCATGCATTCTCATATAATGGTCAGTAATTATATAAAATGGTTGAATAATGAATTATATGAATGGAAATATTAGGAGTATAGGAGTTAGATGTATGAGTATGACTATATGACATTTTAATGAAGACATACATATTTGATGATAGAATTTAATATATATTTAATACAAATTTAATATTATAATGACTATATAATTCTGTTTTCTTTTAATATAACCATATATGACTATAATAATAAAATATATCCATGAGAATGGTCAGTAATTATATAACATATCAAAATAAATGTATAAATCATAAGCTTCTTGCATTCTCACTTCTGTCGGTTTTTTCAAAATTCAGCTTTTACATTTATTATGGATAATACATGGAATTTGAACTTTATACAAGGAAATGTAATTGGATATAAATAAAATCACATTATTATACTAAATAACACAAAAAGCACAAAACACAGAAATTGGTTATCATTGTTTGTATTAACTGTTTATGCTGCTTCTATTAGGTTGGTGCAAAAATAATGACGTAATAATGTCGTTTTTTGACGTATTTTTTAACGTCAAAAAACGACATTCTTATGTCATTATTTTTGCACCAACCTAATAGCACCACCATAACAGTAGCAGTACAATTGTTACAATGAACTAGGAAGTTTAAAATATACTTCATGTAATTATTTGGATTAGGTGAGGAACTGGATTACAGGAAATCAGATTAGTAATAACCTACCTGTGTTACTATAATTTCCCTTCAGAAGAACTGGCTATATGTTCTATTATTAGTCCTACATAATTACATAGTCATTTAACTCTTATGTTTTGTATACATTGTGGACAGAAGCTATTTCCATATTAAAGCTGAAGGTTTCTTTTGTGTGTGGGGGTGGGAATCAGATTTATCCCAAGCAAGGCAGTAAAGCCACTAAGACAAGTGTTTACTGGGTGTGGAAGAATTAGAAAACAGAAACATTAAGAAGCATCTACAATAGAAGAGTAATCATGAAGACAGTAGATAACTATCAACATTACAAAAAGATTTTTGAAGATCAAAGTTGGGTGGAAAGTATGGAGCCAATAGTTCCAAATGCAAGAAGTGAGAGAAAATAAACTGTTACCATAGAACTTATGGTTACATCTAAGCCAATTCAAGTGATGAATTGATGATACCTTGCCACCAATCTCATACTGCACTTAAGTTTAGATACCATAGCAAAGAATTCATTTGAACAGTTACCATGAAAGTATTTATATAAAAGGCACAGGGAAGCTACACTATGGCAGTGGGAAAGTGACTGAGGCCGAGATACCAGGTCAGGGCCAATAATATTGTTGATTCTTTTTGGATTTCATCAAGAATCTCTAAATATACAGCTGGAGCACTGAACTATATGTAGCTGCAAAATTCTAAGCATGGACAAATGGTAAACTTATAGATGGAGAGAAAAATTTTCTAGTATGACACGGTGATGTTACTTAACTGGAGTATAATTTTAAAAAAAAGACATAGCTATGGATGCAGCCAGTATGGCATCACTGGGCAGAGAGCTTTCTAAACTGAAGACAAAGCTAATGCGGAAGGTTCTCCCAATGGAATCAATGAACATGTCCATGACCAATGGTGGATGTGCAGGTGGTATAATCAATAGCAGCTCAGAATGAGAAATTGGAGAATTGAACCCAATTTCCAGTCGGGTTTATTACATTCACTTATGTGCAAATTTCCTTGGGAAACATATGAATCCACCCCCCAGTTATAGGTTAAATATTAGGACTTGTATCTGGAAAAAATAATTGCTATTCTCAAAATATTATTGCCTCTATATTCATTCACCAAAAAAAAAAAACGATTATTTTTACAATCAAAAATGTTTAGATTTTAAATACAAATGGTTGAGTTGATAGACCATAAAAAAATATCAATATGTGATCAAGGTAAGCTTTCAAGTTAGAAGATATTGGCTGTGGGGTTGACTTGGAAAGGAATGGGCACTGAAACAGTAGACATGTCTCTCTCCAGGATTTCAACCTTGATACATTAATGGAACTGGTCAACCCAACAACCACACCTGGTTTACACCCTTATGTTGAATCACCAAAGTTAAGCAATGTTGAGCCTAGTCAGTGCCTAGATCGGTGATCACTTTGGAATACCAGGTGGTATAAGCTTGTATGTGAAGGTGGTAATGACAATGGTTCAGAATTGTTAATCGGAGCTCCAATTCCAGTTAGGGTTATGTTCACTTAGGCACAAATACCCTTGGGAAAGGTATGAATATACCTCTTCTCCCACCAGCTATGGGTTAATTAGTAATATTTGTATCACTAAAACATTTTCTCCCAAAAATAAAAAAATATTTACAAAAAGTACAAAATATTTAGATTTCTGTATTAAATAACTCCTAGATGTTGATATGTTGTTAAAAAAAAAATTAAAAAGAAAAAGCAAACTAATTATATCTGGTCACAGGCTGGTAATAATTAAGATTATTGGAGAGGTATGAGTGTCTGATATTAGAAAAAGTTACAAAATGATGTACAAGTTTCACCCTTTGTTGTTCTTTCCAGATATAAAATAAAAAAAAAAGAATTTTAAAAGTAGTTCTAGATCTGAGAATAATCTTAAAATTAATCTTTTTCTCATTTTTTAGAAACTCTAGATGGCTCCAGGAATGGAACTTCTTTTTGTGGTGGCTTATATCTACTTAATGGTAATCTCTTATTCTACATTTAGAAAATGTTTAACTTTTTCTTTTTTTTTTTTTTTTTTTTTTTTTAATTTCTTTTCTTTACCTGGAATGCTTTCATTTCAAACATGCTATTAGAGCATTGGTTGGACATCATGTTTGACTGACCATCACACCAGCCTTCTCTTTCATCTTAAGCCTCAAATTTGCTTACTGCATGTCTTTTTTTTTTTTTTTTTTTTTTTTTTGATTGTATTATTGCTTACATGCATGCTTTTGCACTAACATTTTATTTATCTAGCAAATAAAATTTTTGCTTTGAACAAAATTTACATTTTAAAATTCTGTTTTACATGTTTAAAAGTTTAATGGATGTGCGGGTGGTGTAATAAATAGCAGCCCTGAATGAGAAATCGGAGAGCAAAGTTCAAATTTAAGTTTAGTTCATTATATTCACTTGTGCACAAATACCCTTGAGAAAGGCAAGAATCAATCTCCAGCTATGGCTTAAATAGGCTTTGTATCTAATGATGATTATGGTTAGATTGTCTAGCACTTGCACTCTGCAAAATAAGATTTTATTTATATTACAAGGTACTGGTATTAACTCTTGAGTTTTTTAAGTACTAAATATTGAATGTTTTTAAATTCTTATTTTATTCCTTGTATAAGCAACTATATCTTTTGTTTATCCAGATTTAATTTTGAAAGGGAGTAAATGGATTGAAATTAAGACATTTCTTTATTTTTATCAAATAATTGAAATCTTTTTAATATAAAATTTCATTTTATATTTTTGATATGTAGACTTTAACTATCCCCTCCACACAGACTCAAAGCTTTATTTGATGGTTTTGTAGTAATAGGAGAGCTTGTAAGAAAGGTTTATTCTTCCATTTTTATTTCACTCATTATGGGCATTATTATATCCATGATATAACACCATAGTTCACAGAATGGCTGAAAGAAAAAATTAATGACAAATATGCTTTGTTCTCAGAGACTTTTATACCACTAAGATATACACAAAACTATATACATTTTTACACATCTCCCATGCAGAAAGAATATATCTACACAGCAAGCAGTGATTCTTCCATGTTTCTGGAGAGTCCATGCTTTAGGACTCCAGATTCAAATGGGCTGAATTCATCTACAATGTCCCAAGCGAGGACATATTCAGCAAATTGGAAACTGTTGATCGTTGGTTTTCCCAAATTGAGTACTGTTAACTGGAGACTTTTTTTTTTTTTTTTTTTTTTTTTCCTATATCTGTGGAAGATATATTCCCAAAGGGAAATGGTGCCATGTGCTTGTAAGCTGTAGCATGTGCTGGAGGATTTATCCTCAGCTAAGGTTAAAAAGAAACCTTTCAGTATGCACCCATGCAAACACGTTTCCTTCTGCTCGGGGCACATGTGTGACCTGTTTATTTTAGTCACCAGAGGCATTTCTTATTTATGCTATCACCTGTTCTAATTTCCACTCACACACTGATGCAGTGGAAGCAAGCCCAAAGTTTTTTCTTAACTGATATCCAACAATCACTCAGATAGAAATGTATAACAAAGGTGTCAACTAACAGCAAACAGGATAAAAGTTTAAAAACAATTTTATATAACAAAACTATTGAATAGGAAGAGATTGTAAGATAGACATAAGATCAACAAGAGACACTTAACTGATACTGGATATCACTGTGATTATCCATGTATCATGAGTTTGTAAGTTGAAGTGTTCATAACATCAAACTGATAGTTCTTAAGAATGTCCAAATGAAAATTGGTAATTATTCCTTCTTCAGTATAAACTGGCAGGTTCCAGGATGGCACTTCTGTTTTGTTCCACTTCTAGTATAATCAAAATAAATCCAAGATAAGACTGGGAAGATTTTTTTCAGTAATAATATTTTCTTATTTGTTACACATCTAGTAATTGAATAAGTCCACAGGTGCATTTCTAATGGGCACAATTTACTTAGCCAGAGATTTTCTGGAAATTGAAAATATATTTTAAAAAATCACACTTGGTGGTGCATATCACATGGGTTTAGGTGACCAACGTTTACTTATTCCATTAGATCAAAATGTCTGGTTAAGCAACCCAGATTCCATATTGCCACCTCTGTCTAGGCAGGAAAAGAAGGAAGGAAGAAAGAAAGAAAACACAAAGAAAGCATGTCCCTTGATAGATTAATGTCTGATTTTAATTTGACAGCCATGTCACTAATATATATAGTCTAGTTATTGAATCTGATATGGTAATTTAATTTACTGCCCCTCTTATCCTATAAAATCCCAAGACCTTTTCCTTAGTTTTCTTTCATTCTAACTTGAATAAGCAGAGACTAACAGACTTCAATGAAACCTGTTGTTTATAAGCTTTTCCTTTTCGTCTCCTCTCCATTTTTGTTTCGGATACTATCCTTCATTGTACAATCACACACAAGATTTAGGCAGCAAGTATACATTTGATTAAAAAGATCCAATAAGTTTTGTCTGTTTAATTTTCATATTTTTCCAATTTTCAGATAAGCTGTTGATTATTATACTTGAAGTTCGTATTTTGTTATTTGTATCTGAGTACTTTTGACAATTGTAGTCATTATCAAAAATCAATGTGGTGTCTCTGTGGCAGTTACACACCACATTGGTTTTTATAATGACTGTGATAGTCAAAAGTACTTGAACAAAAACAACAAAAGATGAAATTCAGACAGTTTATCCACAACTTTGAGCACAATACACAACATTTTATCTGAAAATTGGAAAAATATAATGAAACTTAAACACATCTCAGTTACTTTTAATTAAACTTGTGTATGTATGTGTATGAGAGAAAATTTAATACCGTTATATCAATGTAGACATCAGTGAAATATTAAAGAATGAAATGCATCACATGAAAAAACCTTTTCCACTTTGTCATATATATGCCTGCATGCTTTACTAATGTTCAGATACTGACAACTTAAGAGTTGTAATAAAAAGCAAAAGAAATTAAGTTGAAATAAATCAATAACAAAATTAATCTACTTGGAATATTGTCAGAACCAATTACTTTTTATTAGTTTTGAAATCTTTAATCAAAAGAGGTGCTATCAGATCTACAACTTTACAATTTTAGCTTTGAAAAATTTATAGCAGACTTGAAAGACCCCCTTCCTGCCTCCCATCAGCATGGCTGATGCTAACCTCCATGTGACTGACTCATTGTACCTTCTTAAGCCTTACATTCTAGGCTGGCATGAAGTGAAAAAATTATATTGAATTCCTTGTTAAATCTGCTCAGAAAGTTGATTCATTATGTTGTGCTAAACAATTTTTCTGTTCTGAATCTTTTACATATTTATAAGTCTACCATTCATCCATGCCTTGGATATTGCTGCCACATATGGTCAATTGCTCCTGTTATATATTTAGAGATTCATGATAAAATCAGCAATATTACTGGACCTGACCTGGCAGCTTGGATTTAGTCACCTTCTCATCACCATAATGTAGCTTCCCTGTGCCTTTTCTATAAATACTTTCATGGTAATTGTTCAGTATGATACTTAGTTTATGAATGTAAGTGCAGTATTAAATTGGTGTCATGATCTCATCAATTCATCAGTTGAATTGGCTAGATGTAACCATAAGTTCTATTCTAACAGTTTTTTTTTCTCTCACATCTCACTTGTGAAACTCTTTCAGCACCATGCTTTCTAACCAACTTTGATGTTCAAAATTCAAATGCAATGTCAATCATCATCTACTGTCCTCTTAATTACTCTTCTATTGTTTTAACTCTTTAATGTTTCTTTTTGTTCTTATTCTCTCACTCAGTAACCCTTTGTGTCTTAGTGGCTTTACTGCCTTGCATGGGCTTATGATTTTTTTAAAGTACTAGATTGGCTGCTAGGTCTCATAATGTCACTTGAAATTACTATTTGTAGCCATAAGTTTTATGCTAATATTTTCTTCTCACTTGAGGGACTCTCTTCTGGCTTTCCTGTCAACTACAATCTTCAAAAAGTTTAATTGCAATGTCAATTATCATCTTCTGTCTCCTTGAATCCTGTTCTTTCATTGTTCTGTTTCTTTCACTCACAGTAACCCATTGTACTCTAGTTGCTTGCTGTTGTTTCTTTGATTGGTGGTGAAATGATTAAAAAAAAAATAAAATAAATTGTAGCTATCATAACGGATGCTAGTAACTTTATTTTAATTTTTACCAGTTGTCTCAAAAATCTGCATGTTTAATGTTGACACAACTTTGCAAGAGATAGTGAGCAAGTTTGCTTTGCAAAAGCAGGATTTTCATAGAAATTTCATTAAACACCTTGCTATGATACAACGGTGGCTCAATATAGCATCATATAGATATAATATCCACAATTATGACACTAATAAAGAAGTATTATGTAATAATAAAGAAGATTGGTGAAAAATCTTGTGCATTCAATTTTTTTTTCTTTAGGTTACAGACTTATTAATGAAGTTATATAGTTGTGAAAAGTTTTGTCAGATTTGTTTGAAACAAATTTGATTTACCTTTTTAATTTTGACTCTTTATTAATATGTAAGATTGTAATATTTTCTTTGTTAATACAGATATTTAATATGTAAGTGTGCCAAGAATATTTTGCTATTTTTGACCTACATCTTTAACAAAATATTTGTTTACATGTTTTGTGTGTTTTTGTTTTGCATTAAATTTATGTCTGAAACATTATGTACATCAAATGTGTTTGACCTGAAATCCTTGTTCAGAGCATGTTATTCTAGTATGAGGAAACACCAAATTCATTTGGTATGAGTTGGCTTTTCTTTCTTTTTTCCTTAGCTTTATTTTTATGCAGATTAGTTTTGTAAAAGATTTGTATATATTCAGAATTCTGCTCTTTTGGCAATCTTAAAATCTTTTTACTTTATATATAGTCTATATATCTACTTTATTTTAACATTTAAATAATGGCAAGACCTCTGGCTGATAGTTTTGCAAGTAGTATTTAATTAAACTGATAGCGTTTTTAATGTATTGAAACTTTAGAAATAAGATGGCTATACTAAAATTTTGTTAGAAAATTGCTATGTTAAATTAGTTCATTTCATTTTTGTATTTTAAACATGAACTAATAACACCTTGACATGTGAAAATATGTAATTTAACATATATCAAGCAGAATTTGGTCAAAAAGAGTGATCAGTAAATATCTACAGCAATTGGTATTAATAAATAAAAATTCACAATACTTACCTAATACTGACTAAAAGTTTTGTGGTATTAATGCTCCTCAAGGATTGTATTATTGACAGACTATATGTTTTTATAATAACCTTGCAGTCAGGATCATTGTCAATATAAAAACTGCAATCGTTTTATTACCTGCATATAGTATATACTTCACCAGGGCTATATGTAGTGTTTAAATTCAGAATTGTTCTTCTCCTAGACTGGCTGCCAACCAAGGGTGAAGTGCCCAGTCTGCACTACTATTTAATCCATAACTGGGAAGAGATGGATTTATACTTTCCCAAAGATACTTGTGAATGTAAAGAACTTCACTCTCTAATTTCTCATTCTGAACCACTATCTATTATACCACCTGCATATACATTATATATATTTTCATAAACATGTATTAAGCGCACTAAATTCTCAATACAGACAACTGTTAATACATGACATTACAATAACTTAAACACACACACACACACATATATATATATATATATATATATATATATATATATATATATATATATATATATATATACACACACAAACATATTTAAAAAGAATTATATAGCTGTTACATACACAGGCCAATCATTAAGCATAAACTCTTTAATTATTTTTAATATAAAATTTAGCTCTTATTTTATATTGAGCACTGTTTATTACTATCATCATTCTCTGCACTCATATATATATATAGCCTCTAAGTGTTGACTTCTATGTTCACTTTTATATTTACACACGCTCTATCTCTGATATCGAGCACTTTATCCCATAAATATAGCACACCTTAAGACTATATTTCTTATATATATATATATATATAATGCCAAACCAAATGCCCCAAAGCGCACACACAGTTATCAGACTGTCTGCTTTGACTTGTAACAGTTGAAATATTATATATTTACTTTTTTGAAACAAATACAAAAAGGGAAATTATGTCAGAAGCAGGCATAGAATTTGGTTCAATAACCATTAAAGAAAAAAACAGCAAAGATAACAATTTTCCTGTCACTGCCAATTTTAACCAATTGGACCACAGCATTAGATGCATGCTTTTTAATGTTTTCATTTAAGTGCCAACAAGAATGACGTAAGTTCAACTTAAAATATATTTTCAAAATAGAATCACATATGAAAGGATTAAACAGGAATTTAGGCTTAATCAGAGAATACAGTTTCAACAGTCTTCTACAAAGCCTTCACAGACCTAACTGTGGCAAACTACTAGACCAAAATAATCAAATTTCTTAATACAACACATGGAGTGGGGGAATGGAATTCCCTCAGAATAGGGAATCCCATTTAATTGTTTATTTTTCATCTCATTGATAAAGGACGGTGTCCAAAAATTCCAACTTAAAATCTTTCTTTGTCCTTCAGTTTAGTCAAAAGGCCTACTAATATAAATATCATTTGTCTTTTGACAATATTTTTATCATTTTGTTGTCTTTTTATTCCTTGAATTTCATTAACTGGCCTATTAAATCTACCTCACACACACACACACACACACACATATGTGTGTGTGTCTATATTTCTGAGATGAGGTATTATGGAAGGTGAGACAGACCTTGGAGAAGGCCAAGCCACCCAGGTCTAACATAAAACTGGAGAGGCTGGCGATCAGATCCCTACAGAGGAACGCAAACATCATCATACTACTGGCTGAGAAAGGCAATGTGACTCTAGTGATGGACAAATCAGATTATACAAGAAAGCTGGAAGACCGCATTAGCAATGGTAGCTACAGCAAAGTAAAAAAAAAAATCCTACAATGAAAACGAAACACAAACTCACAGATTAATGTAAATTATATATTAGTCAGATATCTTTACCAGGCTTTGTTCTCTTTTTTTGGTTATTTTTCTTTTAACAATGATACATAAGTTTATGTAAGAGTTATAATCATCCTGCTTTGGTTTCTCAGGGATTTAGGAGGATAGTTCCCATCTGTTGCAGACAAACTGATAGCTGCTGAAGCCTTGATGTGGACAGGAAAATTCTGCCATCTTGGCTGTAGCTGAAGGTTTGGTAACTGGAGAGAACTCCAGTTTTATAGTCTTACCTCTTTACCTCAAACTCTGTTTTGCAGTCTTTGGAGAGTAAGGTTGCTGAGAAGGCATATCACCATGTCTCTGTCAGCAGCTACTGTTGCCCAATAGAAATAGTAAATTCCACAGGAAATATGGAATTATTAATTTTTTTTTTTTTTTTTTTTTTTTTTTTTTTTTAAGGGATCTCTCTCTTTCAGACAACTTAACAAGCAGCGGGGTCTTTGATAGATATTTTTTTTCATCCTCAACACATGGACTTGCCAACATTTTTCACATAACCTCAATTTTTGGATGCACTGGCAATCTTAAAGGCTTTGGTATAAATAATGAAGTTCCTTGAGCTTATATGAAAAAAAAATGATATAGAAACGATCTTGATGGGGGTGCTTAAGAAAATATAATTTATGTAGATAGAGAACCCAAAATAGTATGTTGGTTTAAAAATGTACTGAATATTTTTTGGGAGGAAGGCTGGTAGGAGGGTACTTAAGGTCAGAAAGATTGTTGGATTTAAGCATGAGGTGACAATTATAGCATTTGATGATTGCTTTGCTCCAGGAGATTAATACATCATTTGTTTGAAGACATTTAGTCTTGCTTCAATGTAGTTACAGCAAGTTGAATGACAAAAAAAGGTTAATTTCAAATTGAACAATGCAGATCTTTATTATACTGGAAACCTATAGTAGTTGCCTAGTTGTTAGGCTACACTAAAAGCAAATGGTACCTTAACTGAAAATTAGATTTCCTTTATAAATGTGTTTATTCAGCACTTTGTTTTATTTTTTGTGTGTGTGTGTGTATATATATATATATATATATTTATCTTCATCCTCCTAACAAGTGAACCGTTCATGAAACTCTGGAGTCAAGATGCTGAAGTTAACATCAATCATCTAAGTGACACATTTTACCTTGTGTGTGTGTGTGTATATATATATATATATAATGTCATTTTAAGGTACAATATTTATGGAGAAATGCGGTTAATATTAAGGAAAGAGCCTATGTAAATATAAACAGTGTGAGCACTGGTATCAACATTAAATAGTGGCAGTCTTTCATGCCATCTTCAGATAATGTTTTCAAACTGTATTTTAGCTACTCATTAAGCAATCTTTACTTGAATTATTGCACTTAAGTTGGCATTTTAATTTATAATTAAATGTATTCTAGTGTTCTAAAATTACTTTTTTCCTCTTTATAGATTTTATATAAAATATTTTAACATTCAGTACCTACCAAATGATATTTACTGTTTATAATTTTGGAAAGACTGATTTTTGTCTGAATACACAAAACCTGATCTGTATTATGTAAACAGGTTTTCTTTTTTCTTTACCTTCTCTTTTTTTTTTTTCCCCTCTAATGTCAAATACTATATAATTCATTGCCTGTTAATAGGAAACTGATTTTCAACTCTAGTAGTAATCACTTGATAATTTCTTTTTCTTGTGCATTTTCAGATCCTGACCTCCTAATAAGTCCCAATCTGTCATTACCACAGAGTAACAAGACAGTAGAGGTAACAATACTTTGATTTATGAAAAATGTTTCAGAACTTTTATGAATGGACCAGTGGACATTAGGTTGGCTTTAGTTTAATGCAAAATAAGCATAGTGGGGCATAATTGCAATTTTTATATAATAAAACACACACACACACACACACATGTAAAATCTTGTCAGTCCATAGATATTAACATTTAGCACTTTGCATTATTAATATTACTTCCCTTTCCACTGCATTCTTTTTCAAGGTGTCTCAATTGCAGTATACTTATTGTTAATTTCACTCAAACTTCTCTGTTGCCATAGCAGGATATGGCAACACAACTATGAAATTCAAACACACTATTGTTCAGAGATGTCACCTTCAGTGGCAGGATAAACTTTTTGTACAGCAAATAAAGTCACATATAGTGATAAAGGTTAAGATCTATAAAATTGTTTATTTACAAGATTAATTTTATATAATCTAACAACTAAAGAGTAATATTTTGTTAAAATTCTAACCATAGCTTTTGAAAAGAATAAACATTGCTGAAGTAACAGTAATAGCAATGTCAATAGAAAAACTACCCTTTTGACTTTTTTTTTTCTTTCCAGGTACATAGGTTAAACATTGCTGACAAGTTTATAAAATATTTTATTGCAACATCCATCATGTTTGAAATGAGCATAATTGTGGAAAATTAGTCTATATTGAGTTACATGCATGCATAATTTTAATGAGGATATTTTAAGATTATTCAATTTTTGTACTATTGTGATACTATAGGTGGTTTTCATCTCCATCTCAAATGTTTGTTTGACAGACTAGCAGATGGTTCATTTTGAAGTTTGGTCTTTTAAGTGGCATCCACTTTAACCAAAGGAGTATGGGAAGTAAAGGGTGGATGAGGGATTTTTGAAGATCAAGTGGCAACAAAACCGGAAATAGCATATATCCAGATGCTGGTCTATATTAAGTCATGCTTGGGATCATGAAGAGTTCTGGTTCACACTTGGCAGGAGACTGACATATCTCTTTGCAGTTCTGAAGCTACCACATTAGGATAAGTAAATAGAAGAAATGACATAGTTGTCCCAAGTATAACCTACCCTGCCAGACAAGCAGGCAATGCCATGAATAAACATCTACATATGTTATGGGAAACAGGGTTAGCATTCTTATTTCTCAACATGATGTTTGTCTTTCATTGTGTTAACTTGTGAGCATGCAGTACGCTCTTCTCCAGCTTTTGGTGCATATTGATGAAATCAAGAATCTGAATGCAAAATGGAGTAATCATTGGCCGGTCGATAAGCTTGGGTGAGGGTAACATATGTATACACTATTAGTAAATAGCAGTAAAATTACTGTGGAAAGTGGTGGCTTTTTTCAAAACTTTATTCTATAATTATCAACTGTGCTTGATGGTATCAATAGGAATGTAATAAGCAAAATGGAATATCCAACAATGAAATGAAGAAGTGTTCTGAACTGTTACATAATATTAGTCTTCCTATCTGTAGATTTCAGGCAACAAATGGTTCTACAGAAGGATGCTGAGAATACCATGAACCAAACATGTTAGCAGTGACAAAGTTTTTAGAGAAAATGGAAACAAAAAAGGACACTTAACATCAGAAAGAGCTTGTTGAAATTTCTAGGGCACATAATGAGGAAAGAGGGCATGAAAAATTTGATATTCACAGGACAGTTTGAAGGCAAGAGGGACAGATGAAAAAAAAAATGTGTAACTTACCTAGTGAGTTTGAGTAAATGAATGCAGAACAAGGTTTAGGAGAAATAACAAAGACATTTTATTAAGAGCTACAGGTCACCAATGTCCTGAAGGGACATGGCACATATTCTTTTGCCTCAACATTCTGGCTGTTGAAAGGGATGATGTTTTTTTTTTTGTTTTTTTTTTTTATGATTTAAGCAGTTATAAACAAAGTAGAATGTTATGTAGTAATTAAGATAGAATGGTTATTTCCTGTTTTTATGAAATGGCAAATTACGAAGTAAAAGAGGTCATATAAGGGAGATATGACCATAAAAAATACCAGAACAAATTCCTATTAATGTGAGAAGAGTCTACAAATTGATAATGTCAGTAATAACAGGATGTCAGCTATTTGGAACTTGTTTATTTGTATTGTCATCATTAATCAGTTAATTACTAAACCCTCATCATTATGGACACTACATAAATTTGATTTTATTCATCTGTTTATACTGGAGAACATTTGTGAGTGCTTTCATGTTAACTTCAGTGTTGCCATTGGTGATGAGTTCTATACTAATATTGGCTTGGTAGGCAGGAAATCTAAGGTTTATACCTAAAAATGTATCTCCAGTAGCCAACCCTGAAGCCACACTATGTTGCAGTCTGCACCATTTCCCTTCTGCATATGCCACATCAAATGACAGTGCTACTACTACCTTTGCCCTTCTTCTTACCAATATAACACATCATGGCTATAAACAACCAAACATATATAAACCTAAACCAGGTTAACAAAAATCACCTAAACTTAGGTACCTCCACGAGATCGCTAAAAAAAGAGCATAGCATGATGAAAAAGACGCCAAACTTGACGAAAACAAAATTTTATCGTCTAAATGTTTGTTATTCATTAAGAGGAAAGGTCAAAGTATTTTGGGGGTATTTTTTTCTATTTTTTAATCGTTCCTAGCACGTCCGAAATTTTCGTTAAAAATCTAGTTTTTTTTGAGTCAGCAAAATTGACCATTTTTTTTCCATTTTAAAAAAAAATGGAAATCTGACTTTGAAATTTTTTTAAATATCAATTACCATTTTTTTCAAAACTTATTTTAAGAAAATCAGAAATTATAATGTTTATTTAAAATATTTTGAACCAAACTTAGCTTTTGTGCCAAAAAGACGTAATTTGAAAATAAAACAAAGCAGGTCATAAACTTTCGCGTCTCTTGACATGTGATAAATGATATATTTACGAATTCCATGAGGCTAATTTGTTCTATGGAAGGAGAAAAGTGAAATAATTTACATTTACGTGAACAAATTATTTACCCCGTTATTTTAAAAAAAAACTTTCAGTCTAATTTTTTTTTTTTTTTTTTTTTTTGTACTTAGCTTTCACCTTTACGTTTATGATGCTTTATGGAAATATATTGTAAAGAAATTAAAATAAAACTGTTAAGAGTGACATTAAATTTCATATTTCTTAAGAAAGGTATCTAATTAATTTATAGGTACCTTTCTTATGAAATTTTATCAGAATTGTACATAAAATACTATAATTTTATGTACATTTATTACATTCTACTGTTATTTGTATTCATTTTATTATTAATTTTGATATTTCATTTATGGAAAAATGTAACTGAGATTAATATAAAAATAAGATCATATAAATTTCATAAGATGATACTGATACTTGTAGGTACCCTTCTCAGTTGAAATTGAAAAATCAAATTAACTTCTCCACATGTGTTTCGCAAAAGTAAAGGCCTTAACAGCAGAGAACAATGCTTAACTCAAATAACGCAACTTAATTATATTCTGGTTGGTCTTCCGTATTTTATAATTACAGCTCGATTATAAGCACAAAATTACATTTCTTAATTACTGGGGATCTTCTGATAAGTCAAAATGATACAATTTACAACGCCGCTAAAAAAAGATCTATCTCATAAGGACACTTATGAAAGCCGATGCGGCTTTTTAACTAATTTTATAATATTTTAACAACTTAAATGTAAAATCTATTATAATTAATGAAATAACAAATAATTGTATTAAAAATTCATTTTCATCGAAAAATTTTTTTGCTTTCAGAAAATATTGTCCATATTCATAAAAACAACTAAAAGCAAATAAAAGCATTTGAAATTAAATATCTTTGTTTTATTGAGTTTTGTATGTTACAATTCAGAGCTGATTTTCAGGTACTGCGTATCCAATTAAAAACAAAAAAAATGATTGGCATTCCTCAAAGCCCTGTGCTTTTAATTATTGTAATCACTAAAACTGATGCGATCGAATTTCTAGCGTTTTCATAAAATTAGTTATGGTGGGGTAATAAATATTTAAAAAAAATATTTCTACCCTGACTTTCATAAAAAAAACATTTTTAATAATTTCGATCATCTGTGAATAGTTTCTGAAAGTTTCATTAACATCCGATAATTATTTCTATTTTTGCACGATTTTTCAAATTAATGTGTGTCATACCAAAAAAACCTAAAAATTGTTCCGCTGATACAAATAGAAAAAAGGTTTTTTTAATCAAAATTTAGAATGTTCTAAAAAGAAGGAAAATTTTTAAAAATAATTAAAAAAAAAAAACTTTGGTCTTTCCTCTTAATAATAACATAAGCATTTAGACAATAAAATTTTGTTTTCGGCAAGGTTGGCGTCTTTTTCATCAAGCTATGCTCTTTTTTTAGCGATTTCGTGGAGGTACCTACCTAAACTCCTTAACCTTTCTCCAACATTCACAGTACTCCTACCAACTTCTGCAGTATAGAATTGTTCCTTTTCAAAAAGTTTCTAGACATCCTGGCTCTCTGTGAGACTAACCACAATTTTTCTATCCCTTCCTTTGATTTCTCAATTCCTGGTTACCTTCTTCTATTTGGAAAGGACTCTAAAGTCCACATGCATGGCCTGGGAATTTATATCCACAAACATCTCCCACTGGCTAGGGAAACCTCTCTTGAATCTCCAGACCTCTCATATTTGTATCTCCATCTCTCTCTACCTAACTCAGTCAGCTATCTTTCTCTACCGTTCCCCTTCCTCTCAAGACTGTTGTGTGTTAGATAATATTTCTGATGATATAGACAAGGCCTTCTCCCTACACCTGTTTGCAAACATATTTGTGTTCAGAGACGTTAATGCCCACCATACCACATGACTTAAACACGACTCTGCCACTGACCTTGCTAGCATCCAAACCCTTAACTTCTCAATCTTTCATGCAAGTGATTGACTTCCTCACACACTTCTCCAGTAACCCTGATGGAAACACCATTTTTCAATTTCT